TATCATGCTGATTTCTGAAAAAGGCCACAGAGTTTTCGCAGAGAGTTCTTTAAGTGCTTTAAATTCTTTCCTAGATTTTCACCAGAAGAGTATTTGAACTTCTTTCCTTGTTTTCTATGAATTCACAACAGATTTTACTGTTGCTAAGTAAAACTTATTATTTGAGTAAAAACAAAACAAACAAACAAAAAAGTTGTAAAATTCTGTATCCGCAAACTGGTTACCGGATTTGGCTGCACTTTAATCAAGGAAACACACAGAGGCCTGTTCTACAGTTTTGGCTGTGTGGGCTACAAAGACTTCACAACCACAGAATATCATGAAACTTAAAACTACTCCAGTAATAGGATTTTTGACTAAAAACAGACCCTGATAAATAATATAAATACTGACATTTCCCCAAGGATCAGCAGATATGCCGGTGTCACTCTTATTACATCCCTGGAACGGCCCCAAGCAAAGTAGGTTTGTTCATCAATCTTTCTGCCTGTCTTTGGGGCCACAGTTCCCTCTCCACTCTCTGGATGGACAGAGCATCTGACTTTGGGGTAAGCCTGGGCTTTTCCCTCAGAAGGCAATGGAAGTACAGAAAAGGGGTTGGTTTCACTAATTCAGAGAAGTCAGGATCACAAATCTAGACACATGGGTTTCACCTACTGAAATTTATGGATATATTCCACAGGAATATTTTTTTTTCAAATATAGTTTTATAACATTTTTTTATATATTTATATATGCATGTACATACATATACATACACTAAATTAAGCAAAAAGAACCTTTGCTTATACATCCAAACCCATTCATTAATTCCCCTTCTCATAAAAAAAGCCTTTTCTGGTTTTAATAACATCTGTTACTAGTTTAATCATTTGATTCAAGCTTGGATCTTTAATTAACAAGAGCGTTTGATCTTCTGCCTTCATTGCTATTAACATAGTCCAAGTAGGAGAAGCTGAAAAAGAGATTAGTTTCTAATGCATACAGCTGGCTGCTATTAAAACTAGACCAAGCAAGTGAAGCTTGTTTAATACCCAGTTAATTAGCAGCACTGTGAGGTATTGACAGGATTTGTGGGGCTTATTAGTTCAGTTTGCATGCTTATTAGCAAAAGGCTTGTTTTGGTGCAGTATCAATCCACTTAATCCTGTCCTTGTTGGCAGGCTGCATCCCACGAGGTCATGGAAGTAGTTCCAAGTGCATCAACTCCTTGGCTGTCAACATAGTTGACCATGGCTGTGAAAGCAAGGCTCTTATTTCCTTCTTCCTACACACTGGAGCAGTGTTTCAGATGGCCACAGTATGTTTTTACATATCTGTGTTTACACTTGCCTTGAAACGTTGGTCTTTTTGTATAGACTGCTAACAGCTGCCTTACAGAAGATGAAACATCAGGTCAGTCATTAGCCCCCATTCATTTAACAAGAACATGAATGAGAATGACCACACTGGCCACCAGTCAAGGAATGCTTAAGGGCCTTTTCCTTCTATAGTACCTAATCCTACCACCCTTCTTTTTCAAATATTTCCTTTAAACTGATGGTGTTAGTGATGGCTTGAAGTCCATAGCTAGTGCCTACAACTCTTGTAGGTGGTTTTCCAGACTAGCAAAAACATGTTGCTCTTCCAGTCATTTCAGTAGCACTATTACAAAGTTACAGCAAATGTTTGAGTTTCCATACAAGCCAAAATGACCTAATGGCACAGCGTGAAGACAGTTGCTAACTGGTCATCTATAGGCAAGCTTACTCTTAGATGTAAATAAATCTCCTTGGATGCTAATGAATTTACAGATCAAGTTTCTATCCTTGTGTTATTTTAGGAAATATGTGTCTAATAAAAAGGAAATGAGGTCCTCCAAAACCAAACTTGGTTGACATATGTTATAAGTCATTCCCTTCTATAAATGGCAGGTGACAGAATATATAATCTTGAGTCATCATTCAAAGAAATAAAGTACTAAAATAACAAGTCATGTAGCTTTATCCTAAAACAGTGACAGTGTGACATAAAATTAAGCACTTAAAATTTAAAGGTTATACTTGCTAAAAAGTATAGATGGGGAAAAAAATAAAAACTTTGTTTCAAAACACTCACCAGTTGTAGGGAAGCTTTCCATCTCTCTCTAATGATGCAAAATTGACAAAGGTTCCAGCCCCGCACTCCCTGTTTCAGGAAGACCATGGGGGCAAAAGTTATCATTTTTGGATTCACAGTACTTGCAGTGATGTTGATTTGAAGAGAGATCTCCTGGAGACCTTTCTCAGAACTGCCGAGCACTCACTTTTGTGACTAGGTCTACAAAGTAATGTGCAATAAATGTAACCGAAATAAGTAATTTCATCCTTAGCATAGCCCTCCAAAACCAGTAAGAACCCACTGAGATCGAATTTCCTTATCATCTATAAAAAGAAGGAAACAAGAAAAAAGTGCTACTCAAGACTTAAATAGTTCTCACTTTCTATCCAGATTGAGATTTTTATAGCATTAGTTGCCTGTTTCAGTATATATACTTTTCTATACTAAATATTAACGTTCCAGTTTCTTTAAGGAAAAGAAAATTGTCTCCATTCTACAACAGGAGCATGGTAATCTGAATACAAAATAGAATTGTGTAAAAGCTGAATTTCCTGAGTCTCATTCCAGTTAGTTTATGAGAAGTCCATTATTTTCAGCTATATATGATAAACTGACTTGACTGTTTTTGCTTCATTGATTAAATAAACAACTCTTTGCAGCTTCTCAGTGAATTTATTTTTTTAGTTTCCTCCTGAGGTCTTTATCATCTGTAGCAGAAGCAGTGAGGAAGCGAGAAAGAAAAAGCTTTGGGCTGCATGAACAGTCAGTCATTAGATAGGAAAGAGAACTGATTTACTTGTTTTTTTTTTCCCAGAACCAGTTATGTATTAAAGGAGAAAACAACACAACATTTGGTGCAATAGATGGCCTGAAAAAATCTGTGATGTGGTAATCTGTTGCATAGAATATACAGCCAAGACACAACACATAAAACACACTGTATGCTAGGTAGCCAAGTAGAAGACTCTGAATATAAACTTTTGAAATGCAATCATTTGTTTTTCCAGTAGGGAAGGTTAAAATATACTCATAGTTTATAAAAGGATGAAGACTTCAATACACTTTACTCAGTAGGTGAAGCACATATGGAGAGTTTGGAGGATATGTAAGGCTCAGGGCCTTCCACAGCCTCTGAAATACAGACCTGATGAACTAGTGATTTTATTTGGTGATAGGAAAAATCTGCTCCAAGCACATATGACAGATTTGATAAAGCATCTTGATATCTTTCTCATGTCCAGCTGCTTAAAATCCCAATTGTCTTCTAGGTTCATGATCTGAGGTTCCCTTTATAATAAGTGAGTGCACTTATTATTGACCCATCCATCAAAATTCAAAATGAGACAAAGTTCACTTTTACAACGCAAGCCAATAATTAAAGTAGATATAGGGACTCCCAAATGGTAGCAAGACAGCTTTTTAAGGTATCCTGTTCACAAACATCCTGAGCATCACCCATGTAATCACACATCTTCAACTGCAACCATCATTATGACCCGATTATTGTTGGCTGAACATTTTGAAATGAGCATAAATTTGGACTTACCTGGCCATTTGCAGATGCTTTCTCCTCAGTACAACGAGAGTCACCAGAAGCAGTCCAATCAGAAGGATACTTAGGATGGCTAACACAGAGATTACCACTACGTTGGGATTCATCTCAGTGACTGTACATACAAACAATGACTCTTGGTTATTCCGTTCATAAGAGGCGACAGGTATTTCTTTTTTCTGAATATTCATACCGTTATTTTTTGAACTATTCTCACTCACTCTGGTGTTACAGACAGAAAAACCTACTCTAGAGATAAAGGAGTTTTTTATCAGTTACTGCCCTTACAAAATTTTACTGGGGAAATGACTTCACTATGACATTTTCTTAAGCTTTGACATTTTCTAATCTTTTTCCATTGAGATGACATTTGTAAAACAAGGAATAGGGAGAATTAAATATAAAAATCAGATGTTCATTGCCATCTATGTCTCCCAAAACGCATTTAAACACCAGTCAAATTGTTCCTCAGCAATAACCTATGTCTTCTCTAACCCAAAAGCAAAATAAAGCATCTGTTGATATAAGGGCTGAAAATGATTAAATGGCATTGGTAAATAAATTTTAACAAATATTCTCTTTTAAATAAGAAATGAAATCAGTTCTAAATAATGAAACTGTGATTTATTTTTGTTTCAACTTATCATACTTATTAACTGTACTATCCTGAGACCGGATACCTTTTTTTCTGCTCATTTAACAAGAAGAAACCCTCCCTACTTAACTTGATTGGAATAACTTTATATCCACGGTAGTTTAGAGAAGCATTTTTCAAACTAAAAATCATGGAGAATTTTTCTCCTTAACAGCTTCTAAATGAGACTTTCTGTTTATTTTAGTTGGCCTTGGCTGGGGAGAAATTTTCTCTACAAATGTCATCAGGCAGTACCCTGATGTTCATCTTGGAAACCACAAATTAGCAATCTGACAGAGCAAAATCTAACAGAGCACTGAACCACTAGATTATGCTTTTCCAAGTCAACACTTTCAACAGGGACTTTTCTAAAACTCTTTTCAAGTTACTTCCCCATCTCATCCACAGACGGTAGCCCTACAGTGACACAAAAACCTCTGCTGCCAGTGTAAGTGAGAGCAATTTTAGAAATCAGGGAGACACAGATGTTGTGATTGGAGAGAGAAGAAGGAAATAGGGAAGTGCTGCTTACCCATAGTGGAGACAGCAATGAAAGTGGGGACACTGGGACTGTTGTGGCTGAAGGTGGTCACGCTGCAGTTGTAGGAAGTGGCAGGGGTTAGGCTGGAGATTGTCACTACGTGTGATGAGACAGTGATAGGTTCCTACAGACAAGGGAAAAATACACTGGAGTTGGTCTCCCATAAATGTAGCACAAATCAGTGCTTCTCTCTCCACCCAAGCATTTTTCCAGACAAAGTTAAATATTGTGAAAGAAGCAAAGTCTTGGAAACCTACAGAAGGTACCCTCCACCCTGAAAAGAGACAGGTAGTCAGGCAGGTACAAAGAAATTTTATAAATACTCATATGGGAAAAGCATACAATAAAAAAAAAAGAATGCACTGACTTAAGGGCATAAGTCCGTAAGGTCTGCCAAAGCTTTTCTGTCCTTGACAGCAGAATCAAAGTAGAATGGCAGGTGTGAGAGCAGGGACACCGAGCTAATGGTTCAGAAGGGGATCAAGGACGGGCTTTACGAACTAACTCAATGCAGCTCTGGAGTCTGAGATCCTGTAGTAAGCTCAGAGTGTAGATTTTTGCAATGGCTTGTTTTCAGTCATGAGTAACTTCTAGACTTACAAGGTTTCCTGTTGCAGTGCAATTCCAAGGTCAGCTACACTGACAAAAATCACATGTATTTGACTACAATGGAAGAGAATTTGATTCCCTCAGTTGGTTGGACTTTTTCCAAGTTCTCCTCTGGGGAATTTAAATTATTCATCTGAAACCCAGGACATTTAATCCTGAAAAGCTGTTGCTGTTTTTGGTTTTGCTGACTTAAAAATGGAGGAAAGGGATGAAAATGTTCATTTAATTAGCATTGAAAATCTTGTAAAAGAATTTTCACCAGTCTACTGAGAAAGCATCCCTAATGGTTCGAAATGGATTACCGAGCCTTTCCCCTTTCTTCATGAAGACAGAAGAGAGTGTGACGAATGTAGCGAGAAGTAAGCTGGTAATTTCTGTGTATTGCCCAATGCTAGATGTTTACTTCAGCAAATGGGAAACCCCATGAAGTTCCTGCTAAAATGGAGCAGTCTTTTGCTGATGTTCTTAAAACTTATCTGCCCCATACTGCAGCTGCAAATCCTGTGTACCCTCCTTGCTTAATTGCATTATTATTTTGAGTCTCTTCTAAGTGGATAATAACTTTGTGATCTTTGAGAAAAAAATAGGAATCCATATGCAGAATCTGAACTATTTACAAGATTAAATGATTTTTTCTCTGGTCAGTGCCTTTCTCAATTTCAAAAAAATATTAAATATTTCACAGGGTAGTCTTACACAGGGTTAAAGACTATGTATGTTTCCTCTGGAACGAGCTCGGTGGGTTATTTTCTACTTTCTTCCTGAAATGATTTCTCATTATGTATGAGTAACCCTCTAAGAGAATGATGTTTCATGGCATGTAATCATGTAATCACTAGACCATCAGCTAAACCTCAAAATAAGCCTCAGATGTTGCACAGCATTGAGTCTCAAGGACTCAAAATTACTATAGCTCCTATGTTTTGTATAGATAGCATTATCAGTCTGAACACTCAGATATTCATGTGGCCTCAGAGCACAGGTACTTAAGTGCACATAATAAAAAAGAAGGCTCATTAGAAACCTCTTTAGGTGAGTGTGGAAGGAAAAACCCTAACAGGCACCAAATGTCTGATGAGCAGCCATATTTGCAACATCGAGGTACTCCTTGAATAACAGTAAGGATTCTACCTAATTAACTGTTAACGACCCTCAAAGAACAAATGAAAACCAAGCCAGATAATTAGATTCTGCCTAAAATATCTCAGCTCCATGATGCTAAATTACCTCTATTTTTCCCATTCCTTGTTAAGCTAGCTGGCCACTTTTCTCTTCCTGCTCATTGATATGCCTAAGTTTTGTGCCCTTTTATGTTTTGCAGAGTATATTACAGTCATTAATTGACACTGTTGAATGTGGTAGATGCGCATAGCTTTGGTCCAAGTGGTTACAATCTCTTACTTGGGTTTGCTTGTTTTCTTTCTCTTTCTTTCTTTCTTTCTTTTTTTTAAGTCTGAAGGACAGAAGCCAATCTGAATATTTTAAAGGAACTCAATATTTCAGCATTTCAAATAATTTAGTAGCTTAGGTCTTATAGGTTTAATTCTTAACTGCATGGTTAACTTTTATTTATTTACCAAACATGTGTACTGACCTTCTGATGTAATTGGGCTTTATACTTAAATGCTTGACAATAGAGAACAAAAGAGAAAGTTGCAACGTCCAAGTCTGTGTTTTAGAAATGAAGAACAGAAGCCAGAGAAGAGGCATCTACATACCTGGACTTTTGTTTCTTGACCAGATCCAGCCTGCAGGCAGTAGACTTCAAAGAAATCAGCCACTCCTTCTTCCACCCATAGCAGAGTTATTGAAGTCTGAGTCTTGTTGACAGCAAACAGTGATTTTGGAGGGGCTGGTTCTGGTGAAGAGAAAATCTCATTTTAATAAGTTTATCTCTAAGTCTCTGGACAACCAAGAAGGGGAAGCATCAAACAGAAATGAAGGTAGTGCATGATGCCTTTCTTCTGCTTCAGATAAAGTCTACCAATATAAAACTTTGGCTTGCATGTTGCTAAGTTATCAATGTAAAACAGGAAGAAGATGAAGTATCTTGTTTTTTTTTCTTCTCTATTTAAACTGTTCTCTATTTGGACAGTTGGATAATTACTTCACTTCTCTTTTCAGTAGAGTCTTTGCTCAGGGAGGATCAGCACATTCTATTAATAGAGAGATATTTGCAGAAACTCTTGCAGGAGAAGAGAACAGTCCACCTGTTAGCAATGCATTCGGGATAAGAAACTTCTGCTTTGCAAACCTGCCACAGAAGTGAATCCACAAGCAGCTTCTGACAAGTGAATACTTTCTAGGTTCATTTAATTTTATCGGAGAAAATATTCAGTCAGTCAGCAGTTTAAAAAAATCTTCCAGCCTGGTATTTTGCAGGTTATCATTTTATGGCTATTGGATCTGCACTCATTTTAGGTAATAGTCTATGGGGATCTCATCCTCACTGAATCCTAAGGAGATGAATCTTTTCACAGGAAGGTTATTGCTGTCACCTGGGCAAGAGACTGAAAACAGCAGACTCCTGGACTGTATGGGAGTATGGCGTGAACACTGTCTGTTGAAAGTGAGTGCTCAGCAATACACTGACTCTTCAGCACCTCCAAGCATTCATTTTTCCATTCTGAAAGTACTGTTTCACATATCTTACAGCTCTGTGCAGAGTGGTCAAGGGAGGGGAATAAAGCAACTGAACAATAAAGCCTAATTTTAAATGCATGGGTAAGGAAAGAGGAAAATAAAATGACCAAAGGGGAAAATTCTGCTTCAGAACCTAAATTCTGAAAAAGTGAAGCAGGAATCTGCTAGTCCAGCCCATCTCACATTTGTTAACGTGGGCTTTTAATGATCAAACAGCACCGACTCTAATCAATTCCATCCAGCTCTGTATCTGGCACTGGGAAAGGCTTGGGAGAGCGTGATTCTGGCGTCCTTCCTAGGAATGATGGTGAGAGATACCATCAGGTGAGATGCTCACTCTTCATTTCCACTGAGGACTTTGAGCCATGAAACAGGGATCTGCATCTGCAGTGCAAAAGCCCCCACAGCACACAGGAAAGGATCAGGTCTTTCCTTGCAGGCCCTGCAAGGGCCTCCCTTATAGCAATGGCCTTGACAACTGTCATGGAGAGGCAACATCTGACCTCTAGTGGAGCTCACTTATGACTGCAGTATCTCCTCGAATTAAGAGTGTCTTGAATACAGAAAGTTTAGGGGAAACAGGAAAGCAAGATCTAAGGAGCACAGAAAGAGAACAACTTTGGCATTATTTTTTTTTCATGATATTAAGAAATGCTTTTTCGCATTTAAAGCTCCTTATTTTGATCGTGATGGCTTCACACAAGGGTGTACTCAGTCCCTCAATCTCCATCTCAAGCTGTTCTCTAGAGTGTACACATTTAGTAACCTATTGATATTTAACAAAATCTGTCATTCTCAAACAATGAGGCATTAGAAAAATCCTCAGACAAGGTGAGAAGTAGCAGACCGCTGAACTTTCCTGACCAGCACAGTTAGTCATCTGTCTTCACTACCAAGATGAGCACAGAATTTCGCCTCACTCTCTATGCGTGTTAAATGTTTTGCTGTCTGGAAGTTTCATACAGCACAATTTTGCTTTTTTTTTTTCCCTTTTTTTCTTCATCCACAAATAATTTCTTGAGATACTGACAGAAGAGGTTGGATGTGGTATGTGCAAGATTTGCCATAAAAAATCTGGCATAAATGCAAAAATGAGTTGCTCAAGAGGTTATAGATATTTTGGAGAAGCATCTGATTTTCAGACAATCGGACCAGTGTTTTAGGGCTCGAGGCTGCCAAGATTATATTGGCAACAGTGAGCAAGTTAAAGAGAGCAGGGAAGTGACTGAAGCACAGTCACATAGCTTCTACTTTGACACATGAACTACAGGATACATTTTGTCCCCAAATTATATGGGAAGACTTCTCTCTTCCTTAATTCTTTCAGTATATCCCCTTGCAGATTCAGAAACACATTCTATTCCCTACTCAAGATAAAAAATGTTCTCAATTAAAATATGAGTTTTATATTTGGGCATCGTTCCAAGCAAATCCTCCTTTCGCTTGCAGCAAATGGCTTGGTTTGTCTGCAAGTGGAAATTTGCCAGGATGAAGCAAACATCATGGAGGAAAGAACATTTGGCAGAGGCCCTTAAGTGACTGCCAAGTGCTGAGTCGTCTATCACTTAGAATCTGTTCCCACTACTTCTAATTACAACTCTCATTGCTCCTCTGAAACACAGAAAAGGAAATCTCTGGTAAAATATCTTTACTTTTTGTCTATTCAGAATGAAAACAGCATAAAGGAAATAAAAGAAAAAAAAAACAAAAACAGAGTCTAGAAGTAATTTATCAAAACTGAATTCACTGAATTTTTTTTCTGTCAATAAAAGAACAAGAGCGAAATAATCATAACAATTAAATAAGAGTCTGCCTGCACTCACCGCTTGCTGTTTTCCCTGTCCATAAGCAAAAATTTGAATTAGGCTGCACAATGTGCAGCCTGAATAAAACATGACACTCATAGACCTGCCTGAAAGATAAACCTAGCTGATGTTTCCAAATTCTTCCCCTAAAACTTTTTCATAATGGTGTTTGGGGGATATATTTACACACACACATACACCTACTCAATCCCGGGAACAAACACACACTTAACTGTATGCACACATACAGGCAAGCAGCGCAGTCACAAGAATCTGAAGTTCTTTAATTACTTTCCACCAAAGGAAAGGACAGAAATCTGAAGATTGTAGAAAAAATCATATTTTTTTCTGCCCTGTGCAAGTCCTGTCCACTGCTTGCCCCAACCCAGGTCAAGAGATTTGAGTAAAACTATGTAGAAAGAAGAATAGATAATTGCTTCAAGACCTCTAATTCAATTAGAAATTGCAGAGTTTACTCTTCTCACTGTCTTCAGGAAAGGTTTATTATGTGGGGAGAGAACATAGTCTAGTTTGAAATTACTATTTCTTCCTTATCAGTCTTCACAGCATAGTTAATGATTATAAAAGTGGTTAAGCACTTCATAATTTCAACATCCTGGGTACCTACAGCTCAAAGTTTCTACATAAGATAATGTAAAAATAATCTAAAAAATGTGGAGTACAGTGGTATACTGTGCGGTCTTTGTTAGAGGTAAAGGGAGAGAATGGGGAGAAAGACATATCTAAAAGTCCTTCTCAGCTAAAGAACCAAAATCTTCAGTCTTTTTTGCTTCTTTAAATATAATATACATATTTCCATAGGAATGATGTTGGGTTCCAGAGCCATGAATTCAGCTGCTTTTTATAAAGAATACTGACACTGATTTTTACTGAAGGATACATTTTCAGTGATGAAGGACCATGCAGTTGTCCAGAGGGAGAGAAAAGGAAAGAAGAAATCAGACCAGGAGACAGAGCTGAGACCCAGAGACAGGCTTGTCAAACCCAAGAATGGTTCTGGTTTGTATTGAAAAGTTCAGGTGCAAAGTCTGAATCCCAGTTTGTGAAAACTGCTTAGGAAAATAATTATGGAGCAGGATTGTTCTCTCAGGGATTAAGAGACTTCCACTCCCCTGTTTCTAATGATGGGCAGATTCTGCTACTCTTGGTAGTTTCACATATGTGAATGAGATTATCTTCACAACAAAACAAGGTGAAAATTACAACTTTCAAAAAAAAATAAATAAAAATAATTGCAGTCCCAGGTACATGACTCTGAAATGAGGGAGATGCTGAACTCGCTGACAGCACTACTTCTACCCTGAAGCCTGAAGTGAGTTTACAGTTTAACAGCTATGCAAACATGTTCTTACCCAATTTCACAAGCTGGGGCAAGGAAGTATTGCTGCCTCTTTCAGTACAAGCTGTCACTGAAAGGTTGTAAATGTCCCCCGGAGGCAAGCTCAACACTGCAGTCATCACACTGCGTGTTACCTGCAGTAATCATAGACACTAGGCATTAAATATTACCAAAGCAGATACCCTTCTTGTAAAATTAATCGCAGTCGCTTAATGTACTTCAGACAAAATTCTATGTACCACAGCAGATATTTTCTGCCTACTCATTGCTAAATGAACTGGTTCCCACTGACATCAACAGAAGGAAATTGTAATGCTCAACAGAATACCAAAATGAGAAGACAGTCATTTCAGACTGCATTTCCTTTACAACCAAGGAAAATGTAGAGACGAAAGAAAAACTCCCTCATGACATCACTGAGAATGCTCTTGCATCTGGATTTTTCAAATTCTACAAAACACCAAACTAAGTCTAACCAAACCATGGACTGGACTCTACTGCAACCTTAAAGGACTTTAAATCTAGTCAGATATCCCTAAGAAGAATATAGAAGTTAAGTACAGGCAAGCCAGTACACATACATATCCCAAGAACTTGCAAATTAGATCTGTCTGAGCAAGGCTAACATCTACCCGCAGATCTACTGGCTTGACATAGATCTCAGGGCCAACTGACAGGGACTGGATTATAAAACAAGCCATAGAAAGCACTGGCTTGAGTCATCTACAAATTTGAAACCAGATACGATCTGAAATTTGCTGAAACTCCAAAACTTGTCAAAAACTTCCTGTTATTTTGTGGTCAAATAATATCCACATTTATCTGGAAAAAAAAAGGAAGCAGAGCTCAGATACCACAACAGACTAGTTTCAGAGCACTTTCAGAGCACAACTATAAAGTGATCATACAGCAAAACTCAAGGGAATACTTATAGTAATTTAATTTGCAAACTGTATTTTTCAGTCCTGAGAGGGAGTGGTAGGCCTGAATTAAGATTAACAAGACTATCCACATTATTTTGGTCACCTGTTTAAAGCCAAACAGAACAGCTTTTTCAGAGTATACAAGAGTATACAAAGAGCAGGAATAAGAAGTCATCATTATTTGAATGTGTTAGCTATTCTTGCAAATAATCCCACAAGAAAGGCAAAAATTAACATAATAGATCAAATAAAGACATATTAGTACACTGTTTTTTAGGAAACATTTTCTGACAGTGCCTAACCAGAGTTTAGAAGAACAGGTATACCCTTTTTAGCTTGGAAACACACGCCAGTACTTACAAATATGAGTAGTAGTAGAGAATTTAGCTATAAATAAATTGCTACAGGAGTTTCCTAAATGACATTTCCTGGTTTGTTTGTCATTAAAATAATAAGAAGATAAATATCCCTAAGGACAGTTTTGAAGTATGGGATTTTTTTTTTTCTTTTTTGGTATCCTCAAATTTTAATCTTTTGTTTTAAAAATTAATAAGGTAAGTTTTACTGAAAATTATAGTTTTGACAAAAATCTGGTTTTCTCCTTGAAAAAAATATAGTTTTTCAGAAAACATCACTTTTGGAAAGAAAGGAAAGGAGCAAAATCACAGGACTTTTTTATTTTTATTTTTTTAAATTCAATTCTTAAAAACAATTTACTTGTGCAAAAAAATCATTAAAATATTGAGTTTGCTTCCACATTTGAAGCAAAGATCCAAATATTGGAAGCTCCTGCTGTTCAGATGTCTCGTGTTTTTGATCAGTTTTGCTAATCATGTAATTAGGCTCACACGCTGCTGCAAGCTCCAGATGGGTGCACTCTTGCAGCCACTAGGAAACCTATAAAAGCTGGAGGGGCTTCACATAAATCCAAATAAAAATTGATTTGAGCTGAATTTGAATTTGAGCTTATGCTGAAAATTCAATTCTAATTTACCTTAGCGTCTGGTTGCAGAAAGAAAACCTTACCCTTGAAAAAGACCAAACCCTTTCAGCACATCAGTGACTGAAATATCAGTGATGATGTAGGAAAAAAAAATTCCATGGCCTTCGGCTTTAGGAAGCTACGCTAGAGGCATTAGGAGTTCCCGTGCTACCGTGCTCCACTGCTGCTTTAAACACTAGTTGCTCTTATGCCCAGAGGTTGCTGTTTTCCTTCAAGCTAGATGTGTATCTCAGTACCTTGCAGGATCAATAGCCAATGCATACTGGGCCAAAACACAGATTTCTCTTTATAAGCAATGTTTAAATCATGACAGGGAGAATGTGCTGGGAACGCTTCTATTTGTCTGCCCCGTTCCCTAAGCAAGTGCCTGCGCTCTGCGTGAAATCCCCATCCCATCAGTTAGTGGATTTTTTTTCAACTAGAAAATATAAAACCAAACATAGTATCTAAGAATATCTGACTGATAAAGTCACAAAATGGGAAGTTATACTACCTGTAGTGAAGAAACTCAGACAATATGTCTAGCCTATGTTAACATTAACTAGGAACTGAAGAGACAATGTCTGTTTTCCAAGAAAATACTCTTATGTTTTACTATTTGCAATTGACAGATCTAATACAATGAGACTATTTTTAAATTTTCACATAAATCACCACCACTTGTGTCAAATCACAAATACAGTCATTTTCCTCACTATTTGGACAATGTGGGTGCTCAGAAGCGCATACTTCAGCTCGTGAGCCTTCTTAAAATCTCAATCAGTTTGTCTAAACTTTGTAATACATCATTTTTCTACTGAACACAAAAGTACATGGGAAAGAGCTACCCTTTCCCCAGTAATGCTTACGCTCTTTTTGATTTTTTTCTTTCCTTCTGCAATGACCATCCAATGCAGCATCCTGGAATGAGAAAGGTCAGTACCATCTCCTCCATAGCTCCAGCTGATGTACAGAAGGTGGTTGGAATACTCGATGGAGGTGATCTCAGGTGCCACTGGTGCTAAGGGAATAAGGCAAATGCATTACAGGAGGATCTAACACAGTGTACTACTAAGCACAATTATAAACTTCTGCCAAAGGATACCACTGGAAAAAATACCATCACTAAAAATATTATAAAGGTATTAGTAAGAAAAGCATCTGCATTTATACTGGGTCTTCTGTGAAACCGATAAAAAGGACATTTTTCTTTAGAAGACATTTGGAACAGAAATATATTTTGTTTGCAGTCTTTCAGTTAAAAAAAAAGTATAAAGTTACAGGCTGACATAAACCATTTTTTGAGTCAACATTTACAAATGGAACACGAAATCAATTTAGAAGCCTCAGATATTGCTTCACTGCATTATATCCCTTAAAAAAAAAGAAAAGTGACATTCGGTGGAAAATAAATACAAATTGTCACACTGAACAATTTCAGTAGTTCATTCAGATGAAAAATACCTTCTCTTCACTGAGCGGGCATCTTCTCAGAAAGAAAAGCCTCATACCTCTGGTCTTCCAAAGAACATCTCTTTGCATGGAAACTTTTCAGCCTTGCTGCAGTAGCAGGCTGGCAAGCCCTTCGATCACCATACAAACAGAGACGAAATGAATCTCCAGAGCAACTCATTTACCTATAAATAGATACTAAAGACAAGTAAAGAGAGCTCCTGGAGGTGCCCCCTGCTCTCTTTCCTTTAATTGCAGGAACATAACTAACTAGCTTACCATGATCGTCTAACTGGAGAGGTGCAAGCCCCCAGTCCGAATTTAAATCAAGATTGAATGGAGCCCCAAAAGTGACTTTCAGCAATTGGCAAAGCTTTAACTTAAGATGACGACGTCCCTTAAGATGACATCAGTCATCAGGACAGCCTGAATAAACTGGGGAAAAGCATGAATGAACCGGCATGCTTGGCAGCTTGTTTTGGACAGCTGTATGGATTGATCCTCGTCTGCGTTAACCCAGCTGAACCATTTCTCTGAACTGCCTGAACTGTCTGGACTGCAGGCAAGGAAAGGCAGAGACAAACCTCTGCGTGCGGGACTAGCTGAGGGGGCCACCAGGTGTCACTGCTGCCTTCAGAAAGGCTCGTAGGGCTCTGATCGCAGAGCTGGACTTGGGTTAGGGAACAGAGGACGCGTACTGAACTATTCACTGAGGAAGGCAGCAAGCATGAGGCCACAGACTATTTACCTAGAGCCATTCAGAAATATCTGTAAGACTTGTCTCTCAAATTCGTCTTTAAAATGTCTTTCCAGGCTGATGAGAGGAAGCACGCCTATTTAGCCTAAAATCTTTAAATGTTTCTCTCAGTTTCTGGAGTTCCCAGCCCATTTCTAGGGCTGTGTACTCATTACAATCTAATGCCATATGAATCTTACTGATTTCCTCATAGATATTGATGGCGTGCTTTGCCTGTTCACATTTGCACAGTTGTTAAATTTGGATATCTAGCAATGAACAAGCAGGATATGGGGAGACAAGACCAGACCTAGGAAGGGATTTCTGTGCCTGACTTCCCTAGGCCATTGGAAGCCCACGTGCACAGAGACACTGTATGTACTTGAATCCCTTTGCTGATTGGGTTGGAAGTGACAGCTGAAAGCACTTGCTGGAAAGACAGACAACAGCTCCAGAGTAAGGACAGATGTGATCATACTCATCAGCACTGATAGTCTACCTTTCCTACATTTTTTGCTGTTCCAAAATGAAAAGCACTCTCATTGTGGGAAAAAAAAAGATTTTTTTTTTTTAAAAAAGAAGTTGGGCATCTTAAAAGCCCTTGTTTTAAATCCAGCTGTTTACAGCAGGTGCCATTAAAACCTCATCAGTCACCACAGCAGCCCTGGCAGTCTCCATATGTCACTGCAGCAGTAGGCAACTGTTGCTACAGGAGCCTGGCTGTTCCTCATGAAGTATTTGCTTATGAGAATGCTTCAGTTCCCCCTGATGCCTCCCACCCACCTCAAGTCATCTGAACAAATGTTGTGGGAAAGAGCTATCCATCACCTAGTCTCTTCTGGCAGCCTTTGCATTCCAGGTGCTCTCGTTCACTTCACTAAGGCCCCAACCCCACCCAAGCGACGGGATTCTGCATTAGGGAATTGGTCGTGGGCCCTGATCTTGCTGCAAGATGCTGCTCCAAACTCCTGGATAATCCTTCTTCTTTGGTTTCTCATACGTGTGCGGGGCAGTGTGGGTTGTGCAAGGAGGCGGTGATATACAGAATGAGGCAGAAAGGGGGAGAGTGTTCCATAAAACATCATTTATGTATCTTAAAGAAAGAGGCTAAGGGTGATAAAGACCTCCGCAGCCACCTGCTAACCGCGCACAGAGAAAAGCAGACCAGCTTGGGACAAAGATTTTAAATTTGCGGACATGGAAAGCTGGCATGCCGCTTCCCGCAAGAGACATCTACGAAGACTTTGTGCTTCAGAGGCTAGCTTCTGAGGAGTCTTTAGTCACCAGACAGAGGCCAGAAGTATTAACAATATGCCAATGCTTCTGCTACGATATGGCCTCGGTAACGAGAGCCAGTGAGCTCAACCGTCCCAAGACAAAATGGAAAAGAATTCAATTAATAAGACAATTAGAGGACAGGAATGTATTTAACAGTAATAAGCAGTGATGATTCTATTGATAAGCACTTGTCATTTCATCAAATCAGACTTGTTTGTTAGGGTTGTTCTAGTAAAGTGCTGTGCTCGCTGCTGTCCCACACTTTCCTCAATAAACTGAAAGGAAAACCACTGCAGACAAACCATACAAACAGCATGGCAACTGGCAGAGGAGTAGAGGATCTAGCCAGTGCTGTGATTTGATTTGCTGCTAACCTGTGCCAGGTGCGATGATGATTATTTAGGGAGGAAAAAAACAAAAAAGAATGCAATCAAGGCTTCTTGAATGACATATTCTAGAAAGAAGTTCATCAAGGAAAGACTTAGGAGCAATTCAATGTAGGCATACAGTGTGATGCCATGGCAAATGTAATCATCTAGATATGCAAACAGTAGAGCACTGAATAGGGTGCTGATGTTGCCTCTGTAGCAAGTATTCAGGAGGCTGTACTACAACTCCAGTGTTAACATACTTTGGAAAAGACGGTTAAAATCAGAGAGGGAGAGGAGGGAAAGCCATAACACAGAAAACTGCCTGGTTAGGGGAGGACTTGAAGAGGTCAGTGGATGCAATTTATCAATGGCAAAGATTGAAATTAAATTCTGTGTAGACAAAAAAAAATCCTTTTGAGGTTCTCCAGTCAATAAAAATGTAGCAAGAATCATGGACTTAATATTAAAGCCAGAAAATTTTAGATCAGGAATAAAGAGTAAACAGCTAATAGTTAGGCACTTAGGCGGAACTAAGCAGTGGTACATCTCACCTGTGAAGGAGACTTTCCTTTTCTGGATATTTTCATTCTAAATCCAAACACCATTTCTGAAGGTTGTGCCAGTCACAAATGGATGACTTTATCTGAGATGTTCAGCCATTTCTGACTTTATCTACATGTACTAGATAAGGAGCTGCTCAATTTATCATCTAATAGCTGTAATTGTCTTCCCTTTCCCTGTACAAAGATCCAGATTGCTTATAATGAACGTTTATATTTTATAATAAGCTTAACCTCACTGGAATGTTTCCATTGTGAAATGCTCAACCTGGTGCCCAGAGCAGCTGTGAAAAGACACATTTCTCCCCTCGTACAGCAACCAACCAGTCAGAAAATGACTTCACTACCGTGAAACAGAAAAGATTATAGATGCCAAAGGATAAGAAATGTCACTGGAAGTCTTCATAAGGCTCCAGGGCGTAGAAAGGACGGAGGAATTTCTAAGGCACTGAACAAGTGCCAGAATTCCTCAACAGTCCAGTGTGGGATCAGATATCTCAGGATGGAAGTGTTTCTACCAACTTTAGCGGAGATAGGATTAAATTCGGTGATAATTCTCTCATGGATCCGTCAAGCACAGGCACTACATTAACCATGACTGCAAATGAGTCTTCTTTACCTCCTCCCTCAATTACAGCCTCTTATGCTTTTGCCAAACAGAAAATTTGGGGCTAGGCTAGTATCTGTTCTGGAGGGAGGGGCTGGGACTAGACAGGCTGATTTTCCTCATAATGTGATTTCTACAGCTGGAAATTAAGAATGCTTCCCACTTTCCACTCATGGTGCATATGAATTATTTACTGCCTTCAGTCAGCTATACTTCTGCAAGGTGAGCAAAATGCTGCTTCATAAAAGCAAAACTATTCAGTAGGGAATTTCGAATTACATAGCCTGGATCCTAGAAATACACTGCAAGGGCCGAACAGGAGCTATTGTATTCTAGTCTGTATCTGCTTGCCTGTGTCTGTAGTGCCTGTGTTCTAGTCTGTGCCTGTATAGCCCACACCTATTTGATATATTGAAAATTTGAACTGCAAGTATCTGTTGAGGCACAATGGAGTGTATTAAACACAAAGAGGTTTCTCCCACTGGAAGGCAATAATCAATGTGGATCTATTAGTTTACTGCAGCTAAGAATCTGCATGGCAAATGACTTGCCAGCACCACAAATGACATGGCAAAAGTTTCCCAAGTCCATTTTACTGAGTGCAGGTGCAATGTTTTGATCAAAGAAGCACCCATATTCCCCGACTATGCACAAACAGGAATACTTGGCAGATAATACAAGGCTGGAGCATGAGAATAACACGCTACACAGCATACTATAAGAATATTTATTTCTACAATATATTAACTAAAACACCACAGAAGTCACTATCTGACCTATGGATTACACGCTTACTACTATGAGGGAGAAAGAGGAGAGAAAAAGCATTTGGAAACATTGAAAATTTTCTTTTTAATATTAGCAAACTTAATAGTTCGTACAATTAATTTACTCATTTCTTCCTCAATGAA